ACATCATTATCAGAACATATCCATATTTATTAAACAAAAGAAATTTCAGATGTATCCTTTACATTCAGAAAAAAAACTTTTACATACAGAAAAAAAACTTTTACATAACGAAAAAACATCTTTCACCGAAAAAAAAACAACGCAACATTGACAAAAAACATCTCTACTGGATGGTGACGCTTTGAGTGCGTTAAGTGCGTGGAGAGGAAGGCTGGTACGATAACATCTGTCGGTCGAAGTATGGGAGGAGGCCCCCCCCTCCCACGCCTCCTCCGCTAGATCGCTTGGCGTTCATGATCAGCTTGGCTGCCAGATAGCTTATGAAAAACTGAAAAAAATTGAGTTATCTAAATAAAAATGCATAACGAACTTACCATAAACAAGATGACAAGGATAATAATTAGCTCCATGAGACTAACTTTTACGTTGAGATTCTTCACCAAAGTAATGAGGGAGATTCCCTGTTCAGTATTGTCAATCATCTAAAGTACGGTAAGTTCTAGAAAATTACAACTCCACAAAAGACTTACTTTAGTAGCAACAGCAACCCGTAAGTGCGAGATCTGAAAGTGAAGATGATTTGGAATGCAGAGGATGACAGGAGAATGCTAGCGATAATGAGTAGGAGATGACCAGTGGAAAGCAAAACCGTGAAAATAAACTCTTTATTTATTAACGACAGAGCTCAAAGGACGACTGATTCGTTCTCAAATCGGGAGGATTCTTCGCTAAACTCATCAAGCGGACGAGTATCTCTTCGAGTATCGGAGGCTCATCCCTCTGCAGTCTTCGCAGGGCTGGTCCTTGCATCTTCATTTTAGGCTCATCGCTTTACAGTCTTCGCAGACCTAGTCCTTTGACCTTACGACTTTGAAGAAGTGGCTCTGAACAAAAAAAATCTATGAGAAACTATCGGGTACAGAAGCGTACAAAAAAGGATGCTACCAAAACCTTGAGTAGCTTCTGCGCGTTAATTACTAAATGATTGCATTTTTAATTAAAGAATACCAGCAAAGTGGAGGAAGAAGATGTAAGCAATCATTATCATAAATTATCATTCATTCTAGGACTAGAAGGCGTGAGACCGCAGTGCACACACTGTCTAAACAAGCCTAGTCGTGTACTTAGCAGGTTTATACTTGTTATTTATCTCGTCAAGGTTAAAGGCAGTGTCTCACCAAAGTTGAGGTCGCGGGGATCTTTACATATTCTATTATAGAGACCTCTAAATAGGCCATTGCAACAAGTCCCACTCAATTTGACCCCCTCTACGCTGAGAAAAATTCGCTCAAAGTGGTACGCGGAGAGCCAGTTGGTACGCGCGGACGATCCCTTCGGTCTGCCCCCTTACGCGTTTGAACATGTCCCTCCACTTGGCATCCACCTTCCCTCTGTTGCTGCCACTGTGGCTAAGGCTGAAGTTGGAAGGTACAACTCGTCCACATGGCTTCCGCGGGGCCTCCAGAAAACGGGGTTTTTGGGAACTTTGTGCGATTTTAAGCCCATACAGTGCTAGACAGGGTCCGACAGGCTTGCAAAATGCAAAAATTTCGGTAATTAAATTTTGGTGAGACACTGCCTTTAATTCACTCTTTGAAAACAGGGAAGAACAAACTCAAACATGTCAAGACAATGTCCGCAGTGCGATCGCGCGTCTCCTAGCCGTAGAATAGATAATACGTCATTGGCACAAGCGGCGGGGATGTGGCCGCACTTGTTAGATCTCGTTAAGTCTCGTCAGCATCACTGTGGCTCCTCACCGACATGTTAAACTGACGTGTATCGTAAGTTACTCAGGAGCAACTTACGAGAAGTTTCTCTGCGTATCATCATTGGCACACTATTTACATCAATTGGTAGTCTAACTGAATGTGAACTGAATGAAGTAAGGTAGACCACCTCGTCAGGTAGACGGACGGTCAGCTGAAATCTCACTTTGCATTCTTACAACGTGGAGAGCTGGTGATAGGAGTCTACCTTACTGAATCTTGGATGAGGGCCTCAGTTCAGTTCACCTGAACTGAATTAGCTTTACTACGGGCCAGAGTCTGCATACTTTTGAGAAGCCCCATAAACCAAGGAATATTGAGTAAACCTCCTTCGTACACTAATGGTAATAAGGAATCATTCGTTGCAATGAAGAACCAACAAACCTATAGAACGGCCCAATGATCCGCCGCGATTCAGAAATGCGGCGCATCTTGAAAAGATAAGCTTTTTGCTGTGCGGAATTTGCACACTACTCAACCTGGGAAGGCTGCCTGTAGGTAAAAACTTGCCCGGAAAAGATGACAAAGAACTTGAAGCAGGTGTACTAGCATTTAGGTGATAACGGCTTAACCTGAGGAGTTGGGAGATCGTACGAGGGTTTGGGCGAGCATGATTATGTGAACATAGTGAGGCAAGGAAATGCCATATAGTAGAGTGCGACAGGGAAAGCGGAATGTTGCATAGAAGTTGAATGCTACCTTAATCTTAATTTGTTGACAAGGCTGGGCGGAGCATCGTATGCTAGCCAGTCTAACAATAAAGCTATCACTTGCTCGCTTACCGTGGAGTAGGAGGAGCACTGCCGACGTGAGGTGGCGAAACAACTTTACAGACAAAGGTCCGTGGCGTTAGCACTTCGAAGAACTTTACATGATGGCTAACAAAATTTTTGCTTGCCCGCTACCCCGAAAAATCGGAAAAAAGCAAACCGGCGGCAGCCACGTTTCGAAAAAAAATTTTTATACGCTAACTAGCTGGCATACTCGGCTCCGCCCAGCCCTGTCAAAACACTGTAATAAAGGTCCCATCCCTATCCCTGTACAGCCTTTCCCTGTGCCCACTTCTACACTTCATTTCCCGTTTCTTGTGTTGTTTTCGCAATCAGCCCCACTTACCTCCTGTGCCAACTCCCAGCTCTTCAGCTCAAATTTTGAAAAAATCGATAAAATCGATAAAAGTAAAAGGTAATAGAAAAACTAATATTGTAATCGTAATCAGCATGCTTGATTACCCCCCTGTGCCAAATTCCAGTCCTGCAGCTCGAACTCTGCAAAAAAAAACCGGTAAAATCGATGGAAATAAGGGATAATTTTGCAAACTAATATTGTATTCGTCAGCATGCTCGATTACCCCCCTGTGCAAACTCCCAGCTCCGCAGGTCGAGCTACAAAAAATCGGCAAAAATCATAAAATGGATATCGATCTATGATGAAAAGTGGCTTATTACACCCGCCCGGCCCCGAAGTGTGTGTGTGCAAAGTTTGGTCCGGATCGGTTCAGAAATGAAATTTTCTATTCGGAACATACGTACAGACAGACAAACAGACAGACAAACGTACAGGTAAACAGACATTTTAAGTCTAGTCTAAAAAACTAAAAATTATATCAATTGGTTATAAGTAATAAAAAGTCATATATAGGCTACATAACCCACCATCGGTTGCAGGAACCCATGAACTGAGACAGCGCGCTTGCGCCGCATGACGCGGATAGCTATTGAACGCACAAGCTAGCCTCTTGCCCAGACAACTCTCCCTTTCTGTATTCATCTTCTTTCCTCTTGCTAAGCAATCAGTTTTGTTTGGAGTTCTTGATTCAACTACCGGGACAACTCAGGTGATGACACGCCCATTGCATGAGCATTCAAGAAAAAATTAATGGTTTTTTGTATAAGCTCAGGGATGGTCATTCACTTTGTGAACAAGAATCGCAAACGCTATGCACACGTGGTGCTTGTGACTTACCACAAAACATGTTTGAGATTATCAAACAACGTAAATCAGCTTTTTTTACTTTGTTGATCTTATTGTTAGAAAATGTGATCATAGTGTCACATAAGTCGCGAATACACAAACCATACATTCTCTGTTATGTTAGCGATGGAGAAATGAAAAATTGCAAGGGTGCTAACCAATATTATCCCTAAAGAAAAACATTTACAAAACTACTCACAAACAAAATAACTCAACAATGAACGTCCAAGACATTTACATACAAAAACAGTTGAGAAAAGCGATAAGTCGAGCCAACCACAGATCTAAACGCCATCCGCTTCCGCGCTCGCATGCCATTTTCGAGGTCTGCGTCGCGCCGCCGCCTCAGCTCATGTAATCCCACGACTGATGCCGGGTGAATAGGCTATACACATTCTCATAACCCATTTAAGTAACTTTCAAAATTTTGGCTCCCAGTGCGGTCCCCCCCCCCCCCCTCCCCCTCGCCCCCTCTCGCTACGCCACTGCGTATATATACACGTGGCAATTTTTGACAGCGGAAAGTACAATAAACATATTCTAAAATGAATGTGATAAACTATTTGGCTGCAATGGTCCGCCTACTCTACGGCGAGCGAGCACTCTGTAGAATGGAAGCGAAGAAGCTGGATGCCTATGGACGCAAAATATGTATATGCAAAGTGCATGTTTGGAAAATTGCCTCGAAATGATATTTGGGACTCAGGTCGCATTTTTTGATTAACTAAGATTTGGATCCGAAAATGGCTCAACTCTGAAATACTCAACTAAGTTACCTATGAGGTGCCTTATTTCGTCCACGTGTCAAGCTTTTCGTTGTGTTGTTGTCAAAAGAGTAAAGTGAAATGACAGTCGTGAATGCCAAAGTTTCGTGCGTTAATCGGGCAGTAATGCCCGATCTGTCGAATTGGGGATCTGCGAAGAAAATGCACATCAACGTATGATCATTGTATACCTCTCCGTCAGACTGATTTCGCAATATTCGTTGTATTTCGCAATTCCTTTCTTTTGATAAAGATCTCCGATCTTGACGTTTCTCGACCCTTTATCCTAATCTCTCGTTAACCTCCCTATCTCTTCATCTCTCGCTTGTGTACGATTTGTATAGTCTTTTATTGACATGTCATAACCGTTTTAACCTGCGCCAGTTCCAGTTTTTACGACATTTTGGAAAAATCTTAAAAAATTATCACATCTTACAAGGCAAGGATACTTGGTCGAAGTGAGTTTTCATGCGAATTGTATATATGCACTCGGATGTTTCCATTGCCGGTGAAGTCGATGAGGGACGCTCGAGATGGCCCCGGAGAGTCGAGAACGTCACCAATCCTTGCTGACTGGGCACGTGCTCCAGGCGCTACCGCTTGGAAGAGCAGCAACTGCCGGTCCTTCAATCCGGTCACTGCTGCTTGTCCAGACCGGCGGAGCGGCCACTACCCTGCAGACATTGCAAACTGCGGGGACACTGCTGCTCCGGGTCCGGCAGGGCGGTATTCACCCGGCCTGCCTAGATGGCAGCACCCTTCCAGCCGGCAAAGTCTGGTGCAGCGCCCAAGGCAACCCTCATCGCAATCCTTTCAGGATGGAAGCTTGCGAGTAAAGATGTCAGAATGGCATGTTTAGTGGTAGACGGAGTTTCATTGTAGACGAGGAACGCCTCTTGAAGGCAATCAATTCGAACAAGTTAAATGTAAACCGCCCTCAAGGCCGAGGGCACATTTTCCGCTGCTCACAAGAGGTGAGCTGGTGAAGGAAGTTGTTTTTATTGCAATACAATGCAATCATTGCAGTCATTTACAGGTGTAGGCCTCAATGAGACCGATGGTAAGCAATGAGGAAAACTTCGTTCCCAAACGGAAATGAGATCTGAAAATTGTGTTGATGTTTGATCTCATTGCTATCGTTATAGGTATGCACCACCGCCAAGACCACCAACAACGAAGCCGAAAACGGAGCCATCCATCGAGAGCTCAAGCAGCGATTTGCCTTTGGAACCTGCCTTTGGTGAAATTGTGCGCATAATGACTGAACTAGTCAAAAGGGAGGCGAAGAAGGAAGCTAAGGAGCCGAGGCAAAGGGAGATGGAGAAGAGATAAAAATTTTGAGTAAATTGACCACATGTTCTATCGATCTATGGTATGCAAGAAAATTTGTCAAGTTGTTTTTTGTAAAGTTGTTCTGTTACTATTTTTGTGTAAGTTCATATATTGTACTGTTTCATAAAAGCAAAGATAAAGGCGTTTTTAATGTTTCTGTGAGAATTCCGGTTTCACCGAGTGTTGATATATTCGTAGTCATGCGGATGTCATTACTACCAGGGCCCGGCACAGTTGGTTTTGGGTCAAACGGACTTCGTTTTTTGAGGTCAAAAGCAAAGGGGACTTCGTTTTCGCGTTGTCCGGGGCGGAACCAGCAAAAACGAAGACAGGTTGGGTTAAACAACTGGATTATTGGACTCCAGAAACTATAACTTAAAGCAAACAGTTACTAACGGCAGCAAACATGACACGTTTCACGCGTTTAACGTGTCTTGCGTAAGCGCGCGAATTTCAAATGCAAGACCAGAACAAACAAATGGCTTGTTTACAACGCACAAACAACCTCATGACCCCTAAATTAGGGCTATGTGTATATAAAATTGCTTCAAAGTACACTATGTAAAAAGTTTCAAAAACTTATGTGTCTGTATACCCGTTCCCAGATTTGTTGGTTTTTAAACCAACACCAAACCAACTGGGTTGGTTCGGAGCATAAATATCGGAGAGTTCACATAAGTTTTGGATATTTTTAATTGGACGATTAGAACGCTTGAGAATCTATTATATGGTGAAGAGAGCAGATCAAACCGTGGCCCCTGCTCTTTTTACGAGCCAAATATAATATGAAAAGAGGCTTTGATAGATATGACGCTCCAATCACATGTGTGTCACGGCGTCCTTTGAAGTGGCGCCAATTGCATCAATTCATTTTTTTGGTCTCGTCATGTGCTCGTCTCTGTCTTTTTCTCTTTCTTCTCTTTCTTTGTTTTTAATCTCCTTTCGTTTCAGGAAATGCCCGCGGTGGAGGCGAAAGAAATGCTCCAGGACAAGAACGACGGACGGGACGACAGGAGTCAGCCAAGATTCGTTTTTGGTTCCAAACATTACTATGATTGAAATTTGATTTATTTGATTTTATTGATCGATTTATACCATTTATTTTTACAAAGTAGGTTGATGATAGATCCCCTCCGTTTGGTTAGCTCCGATGTTCGTACTCGTTGTTCCATCTTGAAGCTAGTTTAGGCTTCAATTAGGCTTGCATGAGTATTGGATAGTTCTTTTGTGTACTCTGCTTGTCTTTTGTATTTTGATATAAATCTTCGGCGCTATTCCACATTAGGCCTCGGGCAGAGTTCATGCGATTTGATCGTCGCGATTCGATCGCTACAAGACAACTATCACGAGTCCATTGCATGCCGATAAGCATGCATCTCGGTTGATACTGTTCCAGCTCGAAATTTTTGAATGAAAAATGAAAATGAATGAAAATCGCGGCGATTGAATCGCGACGATCAGATCATCACGTTTTCTCAAGTTAAACTTTTTCGTGTTCGTTTTTTTTTCAGTCGGCAAAATGCCCTTTTGCGTCAGATATATTTTGTTGCATGAATAAACATTTGTGCTGGAAACAGTTTCTTGCATGTTAAAGGCTCTGGCCAGACTTCGCTCAAAAGCGCTCAAAAGCGCCCAGACTTCTCTAACCCCTCCTCACTCTCTCTCATCTCTCCTAACACGAGAACGTGAAGAGACACCAAAGAAATTTGGGCGCTTTAGGGCGCTTTTGAGCGCTTTTGGGCGCTTTTGAGCGAAGTCTGGCCAAGGCCAAAGGCTCAGAATGCCATGCATCCCAATTTTGGGGGGGGGGGACTTCGTAAAATTTGCGGAGTCATGGGGACTTCGTTTTTAAAAGTCCTCCAAACCAGCGCGTACTGGGCCCTGATTAATACCCGTCTGATGTCCATAAAAAAATGAGGTGAAACGAAAAACAAGACGCTTCACGACAAATTTTCTAAAGATTCTCACGATGTTTCTTCCAAATTGTCGCTCCACAGAGGGTGTCTTTCATGTATTATGTGAGCTCGCTTGCAGCCAAGGTGCAACGCTTATGCGATTGGAAAATACATTTCCATGGGCTGCAACTTCTCTGTTTCTTCGAGAAAGAAAACAAAACCAGGGAGATGCTGCAAGGATGAGCTGATTCGTACAGCCCTATGTTCATAGAGTGCGACCGATTTGTCGCCGCGTTTGCACGGGCGCTTTTATCTTTTGGTCGGCGGAAGATTAGCGCAGGAAATCCTTGTCATTTCTGAGTCGTACAAATTTCCGAACACATCGGGTCCCCACTTTCGCATTTATAACGCCTCGAAGAAATGCGATCATATTTGGAGGCAGCATCACTCTATAATTGTGGGGTTTAGTTTGTGACGACAAGTTTAGAAGCGTCAAATGAGTGCGTTCTCTCTCGGATTGGCGCACTACGGCCAGTCTTCGAATATTACAAATGCATTTCTGGCTAACTTATTAGGAACCCGGCCTGTTCCTGGTGCTATCAACCTTTCAAGAATAAAGAAAACAATATCCAATATGTTAGGTTGTCCCAAAAGTTCTGTCTTTTCGTTTTTGATTATTTGTAACTTTGCGCTATCTCAACGGATTTGCATTCTCGTAATTATATTTGTAAAAGCAAGTCTTTTACCTTCAAATACTTTCCTTCCTAGCATCTAATACACACTTCCTGCAGAGATAAAAATGGAAAAAAAGACTATATAAACTTTTATCATGTTGAGTTAGGTTCGCCAAAAACCTGTACCGCTGCGGAAAATTCTGAAAACGTAAGTACATAGGTCTTTTTGACCTACTCTTCACAACTGTGAAAAGTTTGTGCTGTTTGGACGTGCCTGTAAGAAAAGAAAAGTGACAAATTAATCAATTTTGGCATTTTCTGTAGTGAAGTCGAAATTCGTAATTTCTCACAGAGACGTCCAAACAGCACAAACTTTTCACTGTTGCAAAGAATAGGTAAAAAAAAACTGTGCACTTACGTTTTCAGATTTTTCCGCAGCGTTTCAGACTTTTGGCGACTTAACTTAAAATGACTTATGTTTATATGGTCTTTTTTTTCATTTTTATCTCTGCAGTCAGCGTATATTAGAAGCTAGGAGAGAAAGTATTCGAAAGAAAAAGACTTACGCTTTCAAATATAAGCAAAGAGATGCAAATGCGTTGAAATTGCGCAAAGTTTCAAAAATGAAACAACAGAACTTTTGGGACAACCTAATACATATCAGAAGAACCGTATGATGTGCCTCTGTTACGTGATGACACATTTGCCGGTTTGTTGTTACTATACACTTTACGAAAAGTATCTGCACTTCTACATACTAGCAAAAGGATGCATTCGTCAACAATGGCAAATAGGGATTACAAGACATTTTCATCATTGAAAAAATCGTTGTGAGGACAGAAACCGACGAAAAAAGGAAACAAAGGAAATAAAGGAGACAGTCACAATCATCTGTCGGGTCGATTAAAAAGCCGTAAGTCAGGGTGTATCTCTATATCTATATCTCGACTGAATTTCTCAAAACAAAAGGTAGAACTTTTCAATATCATGTTTTGCCGTAGCGATTTCCATGCAGAGTTTGAGAGCTCAGTGAAAGCAATGTAATAGAGGGTTGTGTTCATCGGGACAACTACACAACAGATAGTATTACAAATCAGGGCAAACTTATCTCTCAAAAGCTGCGAGTATGACCATCACAGCTTCCCGAACCTAGGGGAACTTTCAAGCTGTCGTTAAACTGTATCCACTCAACAGCTGACGAATAAACCTAATCAATTGTAAAATATACATGCCTATTTCTCAGTTTTTATCCATGTGTAGGGGTAGTGACCGAATGGATAATGCTTAACTAAAGTTGCACTGAACGACGAATAAACGAAAAAGATAAAGCTTAACCGCATGTCATCTGGTACCTGGATCTAATTTTCCGTAAACATCAGTTTGAAATACTATTCAACTTTGCTTCCCAGAGGGATGAATTTCTTAGTCTCGTTGTCAATCTCAACGGAAGAAACGATTTAACTTAGTCTAAGCTTTGAAACGGCAATTGCTGTGGTGCATCAGCGCCGAAAGGCGTGTTTCAAGTGCCCCTTCCTGTTTATATTGGTGTGCAAGCGAACTTTGAGATCAAGATTGAAAACGTGTAAACTGTCATGACTTTGTAAGTGCTAACTTGCTCATTATACTGTTTTACCCTGGGGGTCGCCGCACGCTACTCGATACCAGTGGAATCCATAGTGGAAGAAAGAAAGGCTATTGGAAATACGGATGCTTTTGAAGTACCTGACATCAGCAAACGCCCTACCTCGTCTTACATTTTTACCGAGGGACTACTGTATAGCAATTGCAAATTCATGTACAAAAGGTCCAAGTCGGGGCGCGTTTGATTATGGTGGATGTGTGCGATTACATCCAATAAAATTCCGTTCCACCATCATGGCACGTAAATGATTCTGTCAGGAGTGGGCAGAATTCATATCACCGCCCTCACACAATCTACACATAGATAAAATCGATTTATCAATAGAATTATTACGTAGTAATAGGAGAAGTAGAAATAGTGGAATGGAAAACGACTAATTCCACTTTTCCGATTTTTGGTTTTTTTTATTTTGGTTTCGTGGCTAAGAACTAGAAAGGATGTGTGACTTCCTTGGTTCCCGAGTACAGGGTGTTGTAAAAGGTCTTGTAGTCTAGGTTTGAACTACCACAGCACACGAATAACTCATAGTTTTAGTTTTGAAAATGCCACAGGATGCTGCAGCCATCATGAGGTGCATTTTTACGAGTCCAGAATGACTTCGTATGTATTTGAAAAAACGGAATTATTGAACTATCTATTCTGAAAGCGCGAAAAACTATTTCTTCAGGGTTCACAATTTTTCCGAATTTGACAGTATTTTTAACAGTGTGATGCAATTCCATTCCATGTCTACAGTATAGAGGAGGCTTTGCACTAATTTCGCTATACTAACTGCAAAAAAAATCTGCT